TTGAAGCAACTGATTTACAACAGAAGTAATCAAAATGTGAAATAACTGTTGCTCCATAATTACAGAATGCTTTTTTGCTTAGAAAAACAAAAACTAAACACCTAAGCTAGGGAACCACTGGGGCAGCTGAAAGGAATTTTCAGTTTCCTCCGGCAACCCTGGTAGCAGCTGACCTGGTGGCAGGGGTGGGGAATCCTCAGTTGGGAACCCCTGTGGAAGCAGGGCGAGACATCAGTTGACCTTTTACATCCCTACTAGGAACATAGTTGGTAATGTTGCTACTATTGTTGCCCTCCCCAAGTGACACTTCTGATGTATATACTCCCAATGATCCTGAAGTCATTTGAGTGCCACTTTAAAAAAAAAAAAAAAGTGTAAAATCTCTCCAGTTTTCCCTGAAAGCAAAAATGAAAGCATTATATGGAAAATCCTCTCCGCTTTGTTGAGCTTCCAGGCCTATGCCAGAGTTCCATAACCGCAGAGCTCTTTTCATTATTATAGTTGAGGCTGTAATACTAGATGGATCCATCACATCTATTGCTGACTGTAAAGATGTCTCAATAATTTGGTGGCCTTCCTTGATGAAAACCTTAAGCTCTTCCCTTGAGGTTCCTGGTAATTTATCTGTAAATTTGTACATAGTCTCAAACCAAACTTTGACAGTGCTGGCCAATTACTGACACACATTTATAAAGATTGGTTTGGGAAAAAAAAAAAAAAAAAAAAAAAACCCAGCCATTAAATCTAATCTTTTAGACTCGGACCAACTTCAATGTCTTTTCACTGTAATTTACAGATGTTACAACCAGAGAGTTAAGGTCTGGTATTGAGCAAAAGCACTCAAAAGCCTGCATAGGGACATAATAGCATTTATCAGTGCACTTTGTTGGAGGCTGGAAGAAAACTGGGGTATGTCAAAGTGCTTTATTTCTAGGAAGAGCTACCCTCTGGAGCTAAGGGTACTGTCTGCACCCACTGCAGGAGAAAGCCTACTGCCCAGGTAGATTTGGGATAGCAGGAATCACACTATCTAAAAATAGCTGTACAGATAATGCTTAAAGTTCCAACTTGGGCTCTGAAGTAGAGAGGGGAAGAGGGCTTCAGAGCCCAAGTTAGAGAGAACTGCAACCTCAAAGTACAGTAGACTTGCGATAATCTGGAACCTATGGGACCTAGGTGGTGCCGGATTATTAGATATGCCAGACTATCAGAAGGTACTATAAGATGGTTATATATATACTGTATACATTATATACTGTATATAAAGTGTTCTTAACCCTTTTTATTGTATATACTGTATACAGTATACTGTAATGTTTTAGTTTTTTTAAGCTTTTTTTATCCTTTTTGCTCAGTTCAGCTGCTGCCGCTGTTACCTTGTGACTCATTTTTTGCCAAAGCTCACTCACTAGGCTCTTGCCATTTTGATGCCGGACTATCAGGAGTGCCGAACTATTGGATGCCAGACTATTGGAGTTTTACTGTACTGTCTACCCAGCAAATGCTGCCAGCCCAAGTCTATTGACCTGATCTGGGAGACTCATTCCAAAAATATACCAACCCAAAGGGCTACAACTCAGGTATCTCCAATAATCTTCCCGCCGAGTCACTATCTTACAGGGAAAGGAGGCAATGTCTTACATAAATAGATCCAAAGCCTTTTAGGACTAATAGGTTTAAAAAAAAAAAATCAATATTTTAAAATCAGTCCAGAAACCAAATGCACAGTTCAGAACACAGGTTTAATATACAGGCAGTCCCCGGGTTACGTACAAGATAGGGACTGTAGGTTTGTTCTTAAGTTGAATTTGTACGTAAGTCGGAACTGGCGTCCAGATTCAGCCGCTGCTGAAACTGACCAGCGGCTGACTACAGGAAGCCCGAGGCAGGGTTTCTCTGCCCCGGGGTTCCTGGAATCAGCCGCTGATCAGTTTCATCAGTGGCTGAATCTGGGCGCCCGGGGCAGAGGCACCGGGGGGG